ACTTCTGCGGTGTTACCTTTGCCCAGTCTCGGCTTGTATTGCGGCCCGGCGACTGATTGATTACGTCTACATAAGATCAAATCACAACGTGGGTAGGTTAGACCTGAAATCAAAACAGTTACTTCGGTAACCAGACGTTGGAGACCATCTGGGAACGACAAAGCTGATATCGAATGTAACCAGATTCCCATCCGAAGGGTTAGAACGTCATATTTGGTGCCGCGACAAATACCAAGTCACATTGGTCGTCACAGGGCAGAACGGCGAGGGGGCAGAGAGGCCACGGGGTGACGTCACACATGATAAACGATGTATTTCTTATTTATTGAAATGGGGAAAAAGTCATAGAAATCAAGTTAGCATCTTGTCTTTTATTGCTCTGAAAGTGTAAAGAAATTATACTTTGAAAAAACATTGAGAGGATATACACTAAAGCTATTGCTGTAGGGAGAATAAATAATTTGAACATAATCGAAAAAACTCAATAAGTTTAGTCTTTTTTTTAGACATTAAACATTTTGTGGGATGGACAATAATTCTGTTACATGATTGGGACAATTTTGCTGTTACCCCTGCTAGGTATGTGCAGAAAGTGAAATCCGAGAGAGTTCTTCATATTCTGGCCTAACCATCTCTTTTGCAGAAATAAGTTTATCAAAGGCATAAGCCCATCTATTACCTCCCCAGATATATTTCAAATAGTAAGGTAGTTTTGTCTCTTTAGCCTTCCGTACTGTCGGAGATATAAACACTTATATCAAGGAAGAGATTATGGTCGATATAACTACTAGAATTCTTATTCTTTGTTTCAACTGCATTATGTTTTTATACAAAATAAATATCTCTCTATATTTCTGAGATGAGTTATCGTAATTGTTTAAACTATTTACATTGTTCGGACTGTTGTCCCCATCTTCGTTGACATATTCACGGTGTTTCGGTCGTTGTACGTTTCTACCGTCTTCAGGTGATTAGAATTCGGAACTGAACCCTTTATTTCGCCCACTAGGATAGATAGGTCTAGTTCGACGTGCCATACCTCTTCCTGGTGACTCAGTATCAACTATTTCCCTTTAATTCAACTGTCCAAATTTTTTAAACCACTGTTGTAGTCAGGTATTGAACTCAAAACTCTTTGGGTCAAGTCACTGAATTCAAACAACTCTTTTATCCAATGTGCCATGTGTCCTTGAGGGTTCAGTTCCAAATACTAGTCACCTGAAGAAGGCCGGAGCATACAACGGCGTAATAGTGTGAATATAGCAACGAAGATGAGCGCAACAGTCTGAACAATGCAAATCGTGTAAATAACGTAATAAATAGTAAATAATTATTCTTCCGTATCATTGCTTTATCATTTCTTACACAGAAAATGTCTTTTTAATCATTCTGAAATTTTTTATGGACCTCTTCTTTTTAAGATTGCCCACTTTATATGCAAGCGTATAATAGAACTATTGTTATATATAACTTGGAATGAATGGTCACCTGACATTTTTTTAACTCTCGGAGAAACTTGCTTCCATTAAGCCTTGGTGAAATTGCCGGCTGATATCTGATACATATACTGAGATATTTTGAAATAAAATGCATTGAGTCCTTCGTGGCCTCCTGCTTTCTAGTTCGTTTCTTTCATATTTTATACTGCGATTTCTTCTAAATGCTTATTGATTTTCCTATGATATAGATCTATTTCTTTACTATATATTTTTCCTACATTTTTTCCACTTGCACTCGTACAACCTGTCCTGAAAAATATGACGTTTAGTGTTTCTGGTTTTGTCCTTTGTTTCTTCAATGGAGAAATTGACATATATATATATATATATATATATATATATATATATATATATATATATATATATATATATATATATATATATATGTGTGTGTGTGTGTGTGTGTGTGTGTGTGTGTGTGTGTGTGTAATTTCAGAACCCTTTTCTGCACTATAAATGGCAGTATGACTAAACAGAACTATTTTTTATATGAAAATCAAAACAATCATAGAATAAAAGAACAGTAATGAAGGACATTTAATTAATGAAATATAATTTTTTTTTTTTTAAATCACTATTCAAATTAGTTAAACCTGAAAAATGATATTACCTAGAAGTCGATAATATATAATACATATATTTATCTTCGGATGTGTAAATTGATATAAAGTAAAGTTGGGGCACTTTTAACCCCATAATTATGTGGTAGTATTGAGCTCCGATTTCGCGTTTATTCATATATATATAGATTAAAAGTTAGTTAGCCAAGGAAGGAATGTCGTCGAGAGCGATGTCTCGAATGAAGACTGCAAATAAAAGAAGATTTATGAACATCCCATTGGTCTTTGGCTTTCATTTTACCTGACACATTTTGGTAAAGCATTAAATTCTCTGCAATTTTCCACTTCTTTGATATCGTTCACTTCTTCGTTTCCTCATGCAGACAGTGTTGGTCGTTTTATTTTCATGTTACCATAGTGAAAACAGCTACGTTTCTGCTAAGATACATCCAATAATATGGCAAATTTTTATTCGTTACTATGTCTTTTTAAAGATGAAACATGCATTTCCCTATTTTTAGACAGATCACTTTGACCCAAGACGTCATTGGCTCTAGTAATTCTTAATTGTTAATTCAATCCCAATGCATTGATAAAATGTTACCATACTTTGTCATTGTTCAGTGCATTTGAATATACGCCCAGGAATAAATGACAGAGAAAAATATTTTATAGCGTGCTATTTCGAGTGTCATATTACTAAAACTTTGGTCTCCTAAGATGTGATTAAATAAATGTACTTTTAAAAATAAAAGTTGTCCTATAGTCTTTGTGAAAAGAATCCTAATTATAGGTTCACAAAATATATAATATATATATAATATAATATATATATATATATATATATATATATATATATATATATATATATATATATATATATATATATATATATATATATAAGCATTTCACCACAAGTAAGGACGGAATGCCATTAACACACCGGGAGATACAGAGATTGAAAGCGAGGAAAAAACTGTGCAAAAGAGTGGGGAGTGATGAAAGATTAAAAGAAGAACGACGATCAAGGCAACAGAAGATGACGATTGTCGCTGCATTTAACTTTTTTTTAAGATTGTAGTTATCAGGAAAGCAAGTAAGAGGAAGAGAGTTCCACAGTCAGGAGGTGCAAGAAAAAAATACTGCTGAAGTAGAAGTGGCGGTTACATTTACCTACTTCAGCAGTAAAAGATGCTTAATTTCATTTAGTTGGGGAATTAGTGAAGATAGCTCGTCAGAACCGTTTCCATGAAAAGATTTTTAGATAAGACAGAGGGAAGCTACATCATGTCTATGAGAAAGTGACTGAAGTCAAGATGTCAAGTTAGGATCGATTACATTGCAGATCTTTCTTTGGATGTTTTCGAGAACCTCGAGATGAAAGTCAGAGTATCAGGCAACAATATTTACTGCATGGACCAATGGTAGAATTGTAGATGCGTAAAATGGACTCTGACGAGAAAAACCTTCTGCCACGAAAAAGTGAACCGGAATTTCTTGCATAGATGCAGATATTGATTAAATTCATTTGTTCCACCTGAAGTCAGTGGAAAACGTGAGACCAAGAAGGCGCAGCAAGACATTCTCACGGAATCAAGCATCAACCATGGGGAGTAGGGAGGTTTCTCTGTGGCGGTTATATGAGAGCAGTTTAGTTTTGGAGGCAAAGAGCAGCGGCCAGGTTAACTTTGTCTGCGCTGACGGATTTACTATTGTGACAGGAGTAAATATTAGTGTCGTCTGCATAGATGCTTAGTTTATTATTGTTGTTTTTCAGAGAGTAGATTGTGAGGGGTAAATACTTAACCAATTAGTCACTGATTAAAATCTCGAAGATTTTATGCCATCAGAAAGTTCTTCAGAGTTCTTAAGAAAATGATCCTATAGAGAAGGATTTCCAACAGGTTTGAATGTAGGAAACAGCAAGACAATTGCTGTATAGATTGGAGAGAACTGTAGCTTGATGAAGACAAAATTATTTTCGGGCGCCTCCACTTGCCTCCGTCGCCTCCACTCACCTTCTTGGAGTCTAATTTAAAAATGATGTCCGAGACCAACGATGGAGTTATGTCCATATCAGTCAATAGAGCCTTAGTTCAAGGATGGGGAGTCAGATGTGAGCGAATCGATGGATTCGAAAGTTGAGTTGGAGGGGAGTTTCCGAGAAAAGCATTCAGCCTTATCTGTTGTAGATGTTAGAACTTCGGATTTATTGAATATAGAAGGGGTTGAGGATTTGCTGTCGTTTAGCACACTCTTGCAGAGCCGCCAATAAAACCGAGAACTAAACTTGCGAGAAGCTATACAATGTTTTATTCTATCAGCAAACTGTAACTTTGCTTCATTGAGCACGCGCTTGCATTCGTCAGGAACAAAGGCAAAGAGACGACTATTGCAATCAGACATATAATCCAGCTTTTACTCAGGAGCAGACCTCAGACAAGTATTTATTAACGGGATGATTAAAAACTACATTCGAAGTGACATCTCGAAGAAAATCTCGGAATGATTCTCAGTCCTCTCGTTAATAAGAGAAAGATATTCTGTTGGTAATGGTTACTTGGCTGGTGGGGGAGCAGAAATTAACTTTTACTGAAAATACCGCGTGGTCAGATTTGCCAAGACGACAGAGCTACTCGTTTTCTAGTAAGAAATACCCAGTTTTTTGATTGATTAATACATGAATCTTCTACGGTTTATAAAACCTTTGCAGAAAGGCCAGAAAATTATTTTAAGATTATAAGAACTTTTTAAAAGATAATAAAGTTTTAGCGATACATTCTTACTAATTAACACACAGCTGGGGGAGAAGGGATGGATGCATATCTTTCTGAAGGATATTTGTCTATAAATTGATATAACAATCCTAATATGAATTGGAAGACGACTATCCTATTAACAATTCCAAGTCAGTATTCTTTACAACAACCGGACATCCAAGCTTACAACTCCTAGTATTTCCAAACAGTCGCGGATCTAAGTACTGATTACGTTCGACGTTGCTTAATTTCGGTGATCATAGGGGAACCGCTGTTTCAACGTGATGTGGTCCTAATCATCTGTGACAGTGGTGGTTGAAATTTATAAAATCTTTTACTTAAAACAATTGTTGATGAAATTAGATTTCTCAAGTTCATTGACTCTTTATAGTATTAGTTGATTTTATCGTGGAAACATTTTGTTTTTTGGGAATGTGATATGTGAAAATTTGTTTATGTCTTTACTTTCTCTTTTTACTTATATATGTTACGTATTTTGGTTTTTGCTGTTGATGGCCATGTAAAATTCCTATCAAACTAATAGATATGAATATTATTATTAAATCAATATTCAAAGAGCCAGTTGATATAAAAAAACAAATAAGATTCTTTAATGCTGAATCATTTGTAAATCCGTACATTACGTGTAGAAAAATAACTGTTGTTTTGCTTAATAACAGAACTGAAGGAATTTTTCTGTGTAAAATTTTGTTCGTGAATTGTCTTGAAAACAAAAAATAATATAAACTAAAAAAAGACAATTTAAAATGCAGAAAATATATTTGATAATTGATTTAAAATTAAGTAACTATTTTAAAATAAATTAACAGTGAACATTTTTAAATTGTTTTTGGGAACAGAGGCACCTGAGGTTTCATGAAAAAGACGTAATAATATCAGTGTTTCGATTGAATTCAACCTTTTCTATTAAATATATAACGTGTAAAAAAATACTCGGTAAATATTTTGACTTTTCATTTAAATTGCACACTCACTTGTTTAAAAAATAAATTTAGGAAATAAAAGCGAAAACATTATTTCATTTATTTTTTTTAGTGACGTCAGAATACGATTGTCTGAGATAAAAAAAAACGAAAACATAATTTGAATCTTTGATTGTGCTTCCGTCTATTAAATTTAATCTGGAATTCTTTGATGTATTTTCTGTAACTTGTATGTATATATTCTATAACTTTGAGAAAAATCACCAATCTCTGTGAAAAATTCTCAGAATATTGAAGCTGTTTTCTTATTCTTGCAATTTCGTCTAAGTATCGAACGATCGGCAGTTTCTTTCAATAACAGCAAGCAACCAGTGAAGAGAACAGGCTTCCAGAATAATTTTAGCTATTATTCTTATTTTAAATAATTTCTTGGCCATTTGTTCTCTTTAGATATTATCAAGTTTCTGCCAATATATTCTATTAATCGTTGAGTGTTTCCTACGAATATGTTTTCTCTTATTATTAACGAACGATATAAATAAAAAAGAAACGGTTGTCATCCAGTTCAGTGTATTTCTGCTAATAATCTTACCAATAAAAAAATTGTAAATTTTCAGAACAAGTCACCGAATATTAATTAACACTTCCCAAATCACAAAAAAATTATCTATGTATTTCGTAAATAACTTATAGTACCTTTAAACATAGTAGCTTAGCAGTCATGAATAAACATTATAGCACAGAAACTCTCGAATATAAAAAGACGTGAACCCTAAAGTAACTCTCTCTATCTCTCTCACACACACAAACACAAACACACACGCATACATACATACTTTCGAGTTTTCATCCTTCGAAATAATGAAAAGAAGCATCCATGCTGAAGCTAGAAGGGCTGTGAAAGCGTCACACTAAATCACATCAATACAGCAAGTCCCATTGCAACAGATGCATGAAGATTTCATTATGTATGCTAACAAAATAATCTCTTGTTTTAGACATTCTTCGTTTAGTTTTAATATATGTTATATTGAATTGCAATTCAACTGATCTGTTATTTTGTGTGTGTACTCTTTTTGAACAACATCATTTCATACACTATAAAATGTTCCCGTAAAAAAACAAAAAAAAAACACTTACACATTAATTACTGAAGTAGCCAATCCTTAAACACGTAGGCACGAAGCGAATCATCGAGGAGGACATCACTTGGATAATTCTGAATGCGGATTATTGTACCATTATGTTATATTAATCGACAACATTTGATTGACAAAAAAAAAACTAACGTCAAATCTATTGCCTGCCTGAAGTCTGCAACTCTTATTCGTGCCAAAATTGAATTAGGAGAAGAAAGTTCCGAATTTTCGGTAATATTGCTCAATTATCAAATCATAACCGAACAAAAATTCAACACCAAAAGCGAGCTATCTTCACCTGTACACATGGTACAAAAACAGAAGTCATCCTCATGCAGACCTTGTGGTGATTGACGCAAACGGAAAGCGATTATGTTTTCTGCTACGTATGCATTTCTAATGTTCAAGAATTTACCAGTCAGCTAGATGAAATTAAATTTTTTCAAAACTTTACCTCATCCTAGATTATCCTCAGGTACCTATAGAGGAATTGGTCACAAAGAAGTGAAACATAAAAAGGCCATTTGGGCTTTAAAAATTTTTTCACGTTTACCGCTTGAATGACAGAATGCAGCCCAATTCTTTCAAAGAATTATTAACCAAGTTTTCAACGACTAGATTCAGTTTTATGCTTATGATTATTGCCAGCTCTTCGTCAGAAGAACGTAAACGTCATTCACAAGATGTTTTTGAAAGATTTCTAAAATATCGCGTTGCCTTGAATCCAATTATATGTAAATTTTGATCGTCTTTATGCTATAGGATTGATAAAAATATTAAACAATCATCTGAAAAAATCTACGCCAATTCCTTTGCATGGTGAATTCTTATAGGAAATTTATACCCAACTTGGCGGAAATAGTTTCCCTATTGACAGATATTCTTCGAAGACAAAGAAAAATGAACTGTTATATAAATCTTTCTGAAAAATTCAGCATTTAATTTGGCAAAGGAAAATTGAGTCAAGTTAGTGTTATGGTCCGGTTCCTTGTGCCACGGTGATAGTCCAAGGTAGAACCAATAAAGAAAAACTCGAATACGTAAATGGAATAACACAGATATATTACAAACAGGAGTATATACTGAGAAGTAGAAAGTGTTAGTACGAACAATTAGTAGTAATTGTCTGAACGCGACTCTGTTTCGGAATGCCTCTGACTCGACTGACTGACTCGCTCGCTCTGACTGACTAACTGACTCCTGACAGACTTCTGACGAACCTCACTCCAGACTCCGAGTTCCATATCCTGTAAATTATGTAAAGAATCAGTAACGTCACTGTTAAGGTTGCCGACACTGTCGATATCGCCTGTGAAGTAGTCGTACAGTCCAAGAGCTAGCTTAGCCTTGATTGCGATTCTCGCGAGTCCTCCCAAGAATCCTGATCCATGTGTGTCCTTGAGAAATTTTTCATCCGTCTCCTCGGTAGTTATGTTCGGATTGGCGAATACTACGTCGTGTTCTTTAGTTGCCCGATCTAATTTGTTAAGTGCCAGTGAGTATTTTAGTCGTTTTAGGCCTGTATCCGGGCCTCGGAAAGTGTATCTTCGGACGGTGAACTCGACGAGTTTACGTTTTTTCCCTCTCTTTATCTCCTGTAGACGGTGGCGCCATCTTCTTCCAGTTCCGGTTTTCTATTTATACTTATTATTTCGTAATTGTATTATCTCCCCTGAATAAAATATTTTCTTTATCCAAGGCAGGTGATAATAAACTAATATGGGCACTATTTCTTTTCTGTCACGGGCACGGTGCAGGGAAAGGGTTAGGGTTAGTACATGGATTAAAAATAAAATTCAATGCTAACAAACCCTAAACCTAACCCTTTCATTGCACCGTTCCCGTGACACAAAAGAAATAGTGTCATCCGACACTTGCGACATCTCAGATCACAGACAATAAAACTCCAGTTGAAAAAAAAATCAGGGCAAAATCCGAGAAATTAATTTTCTCGGAAACATAGACACTTCTGATTTTATCAGCCAATTTACAATTGATATTGGACATATCAAAAGCTCTGGAAACACTCTTTCAGGCACACTTTCCAGAAATATTTATATTATTAATATGAGTCCTGTCATCGATTTTGAAACTATTGCAACTTCGCAAAATGATGAAGATAGAGGACAATAATTCTTCATTATAAACGAAAAAAATATATATTCCACAAGTGAAACATTCCATTAAGTGCGATATATCTACAGAAACTTTGTGGGCTTTTATTTCAAAAACTCTTCGTAGATAACTATTTGATACTATGCACTCAATATCACAGCTAGTCATAAATGCGACCTACAGGTAAATTAGTAGAAATTGTATCTGGCCTGGAATCAGGAAGGATAAGAGGTATTAGACTCTTCATAATCTTCCGTGTCAAAAGCCAAATTAGTGAGAGATTATATCAGCACCTACATCTTTTACTTTCCTGATATTCGATTAGACCATGTCCATATCGACATCACCGGACCATTTCCGTCCTGTCATGAATATTACTATCTACTCATCTGTATTGTGAAATTCACTGGCTGACCTAAAGTAATTTCCCTTACTTATATCAGTGCGAAATCACAGGTTTTTATAACTGGTTGGGACAGCAGATTTGATGTTTCCACGACCACCACCAGAAGCAGAGAAACACAATTTGAATCCTCACTTTTTGTTTCCCTAACCAACGTACTTAGTGCAAGCAGAATTTCTAAAACCGCTTACCATCTGGAATCTAACAGCATTATAGAACGCTTTCATCATTCTCTAAAGGGATTCCTGAAAAATGCGCTAAACTATACTTGGCTTCAGAATATTTCAGTATCTCTCTACATTTCTGAGATGATGCATTATGTACATTATTTACTTTATTCGGACGATTGTCCTCGTCTTTGTTGCCATATTTATCACAACGTTTTGACCGTTGTATGCACCGGCCTTCTTCAGGTGGTTGGAATGTCTAATTGAAACCTTTATTTCGCTCGCTGGGGTAAAATATTCTAGGTTCACTTGCCATGCCTAATATATGACATTTATCAGTTATCTCCTGTTAATTCGCCTCTCCATGTTCTCCACTGCTTTAACCAGGTATTGAACTCACATTCATTGGGTCCTGTCACTAGATGTAACGAACACCTTTATCCACTGTGCCATGTGTCCTTGTGCAACTAGAACAGTCTACCTCAGCGAGCTAAATAAATGTCCAGTTCGACATTCCAGCCACC